ACATATATGTATGTATGTATGTGCATAACCACGAATCTTTAGTTTGGCTTTATAATTTCAATACCAAAAAAAAATTTTTTTGTTAATCAAATAAATCACTTAATGCTAGAAAAATAGAGCATACATATGTGCGTAACCGCGAATTTTAGTTTAAATATATAAATTCAATTTTAAAATTTATTTCTGTTTGTTAATCAAATCAGGCACTTAATAGTAGAAAAATGGAGTAATAGAAGTACATATATAAATGTACTTATGTATGTACCTACATAACTGTAGAACTTTCAGTTCAATTATACGAATTCAATTTCGAAAAATTTGTATTTTATTTTGTTAATCAAATGAAGCACTTAGTGCTAGAAAAATTGAGAAAAAGAAGTACATATATATTTATGTATGTACATGTTTCAATCAAGGTTCATAGAATGCAAGGTTACGACATCAGTCATGGCCGCCATCTTGATGACGTAGATGGCTCAATTTTTGGAGTTGCCAGATTCCTAAAAAATTATCTTATAAAAATACACAATTTTAGTCAAAAATACATCAAGTTTTATTTCAAATATGTCTAGCCCTGATATTTACCGTTTGACAATGTGCGTCGAAGTTTGTCCTTTTTTCTGCGTCTTTGAGTTTATTTAAATTACCAAAAATTTAAGTGCGCTGTTTAGATTGCAAAAATTACACTGAAAAAGGTAATTTAGGTTTTACCGTATGTTTAAAGATGAATTGCAATTTCAGTAGCGAAATTTTGCTAATGTGATGAACGCTTTTTATTTAAAAATGCCCGAGTGCGTTCTGCTCACTTTCAAGAAAATCACCAGCAAATTTCAATAAGCATTCGATTTACATTTCATTTTTCACTATTGTACGAATGTTATTATGTTAATTCAGTTTCACGTGAAGTTATAAAATTTTACGTTGTTATAATAAGCTTTTCCACGATTTTATTTCTTCGTAAAACATTTCAGCCAATCAGAACTCACTTCGCAGCTACGTCATTGAAGGAAAACAAATTTTTGACAGCACCCTGTCGTAACATTCTAATCTATGAACCTTGTGTTTCAATCAGATATTCGAAATTTTTTATTTTTTTGTTAATCAAATAAAGCACTTAAGGCTATGAAAAAATAAAGGTACATGTATGTACATAAAGACAAACTTTGTATCAATTCAATTTAAATTTTTTTTCTAATGTTATTAATTAGAAATGCCAATTTGCAAAAAAATCTAAAGTGCTATCCACTTTTTATTGAAAAACGTTTTGTTTTGTAAATATTAATGGTGATTATAAAATGCTTTATGAAAGAAATATATATGCGTGTACATATGTACTAGGGTTGCCAGATTTTGAACCGGAGAAAGGAGTACATTTATATTTTCGATAGAAAAAAAGCAGTACATGACATAAAAAAGGAGTAGAAATTTTTTTTAATTTTTTGTGCAATTTATTATTACAAATTACCATTAATTAGGTACAAACAAACAAAGATATCTTAGACATTTTTTTCAAAGCAACAATAATAATAATAATGTGAAAAATAAATAAGTATATGGGTTGGCTTTCCAATAGGGACGGTTGTTAAAGAGATGGTCATCGAAGAGGGAGTGGACGTGGCACCTTTTCCGACCTTTTTGGAGAGGACATGAACCGCCATTGACAAAAATGTTACTCCCGACCACCTAGGGCCCCTATGGGTCCCAGGGACCCCTTAGAAAAATTGCCAAAAGTCACAATTTTCACTTGCGTCCACAGTATTTTTGCGTAGAATTCGGTTTTCAATGACCGCCCTTATAGGAAAGTTTCCCCAACTAAAAAACTAAAAACTACAAAAGAATTCCAGACTCTTCCTGAATGTATGGTCATTTTTTTGATTTAAGCCTTATAGGTAATTAATTTAATATTTTTCTGATTTTTATACCCGACGCCCTGGCCCTAAAGCCATGCTTACACCTTTTCACTATCACACTTAACTTTGCTTACTAAGAAGTATTTACCACAATATGAATGGCAAAGTACAGCGCGCAAAATAATAACTGTCGCACAGGTTTTTTGAAAAATAAAAGGCTTCTTTATAGATTTTGTGTTTTTTTTTTTGTTAACTTTGTAAATATTTTGCATTTGCCAGCTTTGGGAGGTAAGTACATGCGGCACGAGTCTCTTTTTCAGGTGTATTTTTTCTTAGATTTTGTATAAAAAAAAAGAAAAAAAAAACCTGTATAGGGTTGGTCGAATAAATGCCCTCCTAGTCACCAATTTCAAGTCCTTTCGAATGCTAAGTATGAGGCCTTATGATGGACAAAAGACGGAGTATAAAGGACCCAAATGGGGGAAATTGGCCTATGGTTACAGAAGATATGTAATAACGTAACCGACTAAGACTTGCGCTTTTCTCCCAAACCCCCTGGTAAACCCAAATGAAGGTTAAATTTAAAAACTTTACAATACTTTTTTTTACTTGCGCTTTTCTCTCAAAGTGTTTACCGCCGGTAAACCCAAATGAAGGTTAAAATTAAAAAAAAAATAACAAAATTGAAGTAAAATCTGTGGATAATTAACAATAAACTACTTTTTCGCAAAATCTATAAAGGCCCCTTTTATTTAAAAAAAAAACTGTGCATTTATTTATTTATTTTACACCCTGTATCTGATAAAATAATAATAGCTGGAAAAAGGACTACAAAAGAAGTACAAAGCTAATAAAGGAGTACATTTCCAGATATTTTTTTTGGGAGTACAAGGGAGTACATTGCAATAAAAAGGAGTACGCTTGCTCCCAAAAGCAGTACGTCTGGCATCCCTAATATGTACGCAAAATTTTTCACCCTTCTGCTTAACTCCCTCGCTGCAGTCTGTACCACACACAAAAATTTGCTGTTGAAAAAGAATCCGTTGAGTCGCGGTATTTTCCCGCGCCGCAGTCTTATTTTGCTGTTATTGCCTTTTTCGCTGTTTTGTCACTGCCGTTATATTGGCATACTCCATTAGCTGCAGGTGGCGTGGCTTGATGTTGCGATGTTGCTATGCCGTTATGCATACATATGTATATAGTTGGTGGTGGCGTGGCTTGATGTTGTTAAGCCGTTATAGTTAGCGGTTGGTGGCGCGGCTGTACCCGAAAACCGTACGTAATGCATGCTGGAACTTTCTTAAAAATGTGCTGGTTGCGCAAAAAGATGCTGTACATCTCGCACAATGCTGGAACTTTCTTAAAATGTGCTGTTTGCATAAAATTTATGCTGTACGGTGTGTACCGTACTCCACCGTTTAGTTTAAAAATGATGTTTAGGACTTTTTTCCACCAACCGGGGCCACCACCCAAATAGTTATAGTGCTCTTAGCACTTTTTCATTTTGGCGCGGATCTCGTGACTCTGCATCACGGTCGGCATTTTACGTCTCGTTAAAATGTGAGGCGTAGCACCCACTGATGCTGCTGGCTGCTGATGCAAATTTCTGCTAGCTTGTACGCGGCCACGTTAACAAAAAATTAAATAGAAATTTATGAACACACGGGGACTACTTTCGATTAAATAAAATACTTTTACAATTGCGAACCGATAGGGTTTAGTGTCGAGTAGCGAATGATTTGGCTTCTTTGAAGCCGAGCCACGATACACCTTCTACAAGGAATGTGGATCGTAAGCTCGGCAGTGCTGACAACATACGCGATGTATTTTTATTATTTTGGGCAACATAAGTGTTGACATGTAAGATGTTACCACATCGCGTGTGGTGCCATTACACACGTTTATATAGCGAGCCGCTTGGTCAAAGCAGACACCCGCTTGCATCCGCACCTACTGGTGGACAGACGTTGCACGCTTCAGCGAACCCTTAAACCGAATAAGTCGGTGTGGCCCCACCGAAGCTCCCTCTCTTTTTGCCGTGACCCAGGGCCCCACTCGGATTGGTTACCGCATCTCGCACATGGGCTGCCCAGAGTGCGCGAACGAGGACGCAAGAGTCGGGATTGAGTATATCCGTGCAACTGTAACTGCATACCCAGCACAACGACTATACCCCATTGCACTCCAAGAACCTTCTACTTACGCTTAAAATAAAGCTAGAACTCTTTGGTACCGTCCCTTAAAATACCATCAGTGCACCTTGACTGATGGTCACTTAAAGTCATTTATTGAACAGCAAAAAGCTACTACTTAAGCTTAAATTAAAGCTATAACTCTCGGCTACTGGTCCTTAAATACCTTGAACTGATGGTCACTTATAGTCATTTGAGCAATAAAAAAATGCTGGAAAATTGTGGCGTTGGTTTTAGCACTTTGACCTGGTTTTTCTCAAAATATGGAGATGATGGAAACTTTATTCTTACGGATTCGTAATCAGCACCAAAAGGTCTATCAAAAACAGCTTTAATATTTGCCGCACCAAAATTGGTTTCCATTTTTATTCACCTGGGTTATCTGGCGCTTTCAGAAACTGGGACATAGAACTTTCTGTAGTATAACCGATGATGTGTCCCTGTATTTCTTATTTGCTTTCACTACAATAATATAATATATTTATAGCACTCAGAAAAATTGTCAACCACTGGAGCTCCACCACCGCCTCCTCCACCACCGCCGCTTTCACAGAATGATTTGGGAAATCAAGGCCCGGAAGTGAAATCTATCAATGGTGATATTCGTAAGAGAATTATTATGGACGAATCTGACCGGCACGTAATTAGCAATAAAAGGCTTTTGCCACCATTGTATGATTCCCGCAATGATCTTATGAAAGCAATACGAGACGGTAGGATAAAGTTAATAAAACTATAATAGTAATAACTGTTTTTATATATTTCTTCCTTAAGGAATAACTCTTCGTAAAGTGGAGAAATCAGAACAAAAAGAAATTGAAATAAACACCGCTTTGCACGATGTAGCTTCAATCTTGGCAAGACGTGTTGCCATTGAACTTTCGGAGTCGGAGGAATCAGATACTGATGACGACAGTGAAGGATGGATGGAATCGGTTGAAATATCAGCTTGATTTTTGGCCTTAAATTGGTTATTGTGAAAATTTAACTCGATAAACGATAAACAATGAGAAAAAGATAAGTATCATTGACAAATAAAATGTTCACCATTAAAGATATATATATATTTTCTTTTAACCTATTTTATCCAAGATTTAATGTAATTTTAGAGATTTGGTGGTTGAAATATTAAGAAAAACATGAATAACAGTTTCACGGCCGGCGATTTAAATGTTACTAGTAGATATAGAATAAAAAGAAAGATAAATTTTGACGTTATAAATGCTGTATTAATGTCATATTTTGGAATACCTTAGCCAAGATTTCTTTGTTTTTGTATATTTTCTTATCTTGTTTACTAAGCTTTTTCTGTATCCGTTATTTATCGCGATAGCATATATTGTATTACGTTCTCTGTTTTAGCGTCATTGGAAGAAGAAGCTGACTTCTACCTACCTGAGGTTGTACACGTAGAACAACGACTACTGGCTAGAGTAAAGAGTATATTTAGCTTTGACGTACCTGACTAAGAACCAACGACGATTTAGCACGGCTTTAAATAGTGACAGACAAACAGAAACCATTTACACTTAAAAAATACACTGATGGCACAACGCCGAAACCGGTTTGTCTCCAAGCCAAATTTGACAAGGGAAGACGGAAAATCGTTCCACAATTTATCATACTCCTACCCTGTCGGAAACACCAACAATGAAAATGAGAATAATTTTTTCGAACTTTAGTAACTTCTCATCCAAATAATGTGCACTCATACATATGTAAATATTAGGGTGGTCCTTAAAAAGTATCATATACATTTTGTTCACGTACAAAATAAACACATCCACGGAATTCTATACATATAATAAAATTGTAACAGGCCGATGTTTGTACATTATAGGTGTTAGAAAAAATTTATATGGGTGGTCTTTATGAGAGCAATACACAAACCAAATCAACAATTTTTAGAATTTAGACTGTCTGTCCGTCTGCCTGTATGTTTGTACGTGCATCACTCGAAAACTAATGGATGGAATTGAATGCAGTTTTCACCGATGTATTGCTAGAGAAAAAAATAGAGAGTTGCCACTTGTTTGAAAATTCCAGTTTAACACCCTTATTCTGGAACCCGAATTTCGTAATTCGTAATTCGTAGCTACGTTACGAAAAACGAAAAATCGATATGCTGTAACCCTTGCGGAAAAATGTCCAGCATTGTCAGCTATCAGTAGTTTTTCGAAGTCAGCTGTATGAAGGAAAACAAAGTGGAATGGAATTAAAAAAACACTCATCATGTGCTTGTTTATAGTAAAATTGGTTGATTTTACATACTTTGAGGAAAATTATGGATTCTGATTCATTTGCAATTATAGCAGCGGAGTAAAAGCACGCAATGGATTCACAAAGGTATACAGAGCTGTCGGGCATAGTAAACATGGACGTATCTATGTCAGCTTCTGGTTGAATTGTTGAGCCACAAGCCTATGCCTGAAGAACTGGTTCTCAATCCAGCAAAAATCTGTAGTTAACTGCCGATTCTGAGTTAACTACGTGCTGTGAATTTGGCCCTTACTAATGAGAATTGTATTTTCTGTGTTGCCGGAGAAGAGGGCGGAAGCCCCTCTTTTACTGTTAAAGGTATACAACATACATATATTGTGAATATAACTCCGGCTACGCTATCCACTGTATCTTTGCGCAGAACAAACATCAAAATTCAATAGTAAAGAAGTTTCTCGATAAGGGGCAACAAACATTCTTTTTCTTCGTTCATATAAAGCAGTGGATAAAAGTATGCGTACATACGAAAGGCAAATTTTCTGTTTAAAAGAACACCATTAATATTTCCTGCCAACACACATCGATTCACATGTTTTTGCTTAATTTTTATCTCGCTTCCTACATAGAATTGTTTTCGTACAAAATTACGCAAAAAAGGTGTTATTTTCTTACTCGTTCGTTTTTAGGCATGCGCCATTGTTACGAATTTCGAAAGCTCGAAAATACGATTCGGATTTAAGCATATCATTTCTACGATTCGTAGCAAAATCCGAATACGAAAGTGTTGCAGAATAGGAGTGTAAGTAAGTTAATGAAATAAGGTAAATATTGCAAAATGGCTGTTAAAAGAAGGAGGTGTGAGAAGAGTTACAGCCGAAAATATTTTTGTGGAGATTGCCACGTTTGGAAATTTTGGTTTAATTTCTTTGATAAGTGTAGGGTATTTTACCTATATGTTTTATACTTGTTTAAATTCTTTATGTTCAATTTATGGTTTAATGCATTTTTTTGTTATCAAAAAGAAAATTTTTGATTATTCAATAATCAACTTTCAAACATGAAAGAAATAAATATTTTTAAATTGAACAATATATCATACGATATATTGGCGATCCTACCATCCGAATCATTGAAATCGCCTGATATTGTGCATTATTACCAACAAGCAACTTATCTTTGCGCAAGCGTCTTTCAATTCCTCAAGTAACATCCATTTCCGGAACTTCTGTTTCAACGCTGGAAATTTTATTATTTTGCTTTGGTTCATCAGTTTCTGCCACCGCTGCATCATCAACGGCCAACATCAAACAACAGTCAGGCCTATAGCTACTACAACAACAACAACGAAATAAGTTATTTTTAGTGTTGCTGTCGCAGGTAACGAAAGAATAAAATAAATAGTTGTTTTTCATTTAAAAGAAAAAAAAAAACGCGTCTGAAGTCTTTAGTTTATACAATCAGCTTTTGTGAATATTTTATAAGTTACAAAAAAGGACAAAATTAATTTAAAAATTGATTAACAAATTAATTTATAATTAATTAGAGATTTAACAATCTACCATTTTCAATGTAATTAAATTTTAAAACCAAAATATTTAGAAGAAATTTAGAATTATTAACTGCAATTAATATAAATAATTTTACATTAATATAACTAATTTTTATTAACATATACATAAATATTATTTGTGTTAACTAAAATTATTATTTATATTTATTTTGTACACTTCTTCTCCAGTTTATTTCAAAATGCAAAGATCACCAATACGTACACGTAATTTCACAACAACAACAGAAAATCAACATGAAAACCCCAATACACACTTCAGACTTAAACATTTCACCAAGTATACAAACTAATGGTTTTCCAAATGAAAACAACTTCGGTACAAATTTATCAAAATCTATTAAGTTGCCTCATTTTTGGGAAGGTTGTTCTGAAGCATGGTTTCTCCTTGTGGAAGGACAATTCGATTTTAAGAACATACGTGATGATAATATCAAATTTCAAAACGTTTTAGTTTTTCTTAAAAAATAATCAATTTCTAAAATTATTGATGTTATTAATCCGCCTCCTTTGATTAACAAATATGAAACAATTAAGAAAGTTTTATGTGAAAGATTTAGAGATTAGAACAATTATTTTCAAATACCGAACTAGGTGATAGGTCACCATCAGAACTTTATAGACATGAAATCTTTAGCAGGTTCAAAATCAATTGTCAGTAAAGAACTTTTATTTAAATTATGGAGTAGGAAGTTACCGCAACAAATACAAATTCATTTAACTTCTTGTAGTAATCAAAATACTGAAGGAATAATTTTACTTGCAGATAAATTATTTGATTTGATAAATAAACCTCAACCTTCTAAGTCTTTTAATGTTGCTCCTGTAGAAAATAATAATAATATTCTTGGACAATGCATTAGAAATTTAACTGAGTTGACTACAGCTATTTACCAAAATCTTAACAAAATTACAGCAGATATTAATGAGTTACAAATTAGATCAAGATCAAGGGATGGAGATTGAGACAGAAGTCGTTCTATATCGAGACATTTTTCTAGATCTAGAAACGATATTAATCAAAATATTTGTTGGTATCATAGAAAATTTTAAAATAATGCTCTTGAATGCATTCAACCTTGTAATTTTAACAAAAATAAAAACGAAGAAAATTCTATTGTTTTAAACTAGATCGTTCCATTATGACGGTGGCTGATAATGGGAATGAAGTTAAACCATCTCGCCGCCTATTTATTTATGATAAATCCAATAAATTAAATGTTTTAATCGATACTGGTGCAATCGTTTCGGTCATTCCTTCAAAATTCAAATCATATAAAAGAAATTCAGATCTTAATTTGACCGCAGCTTACGGTTCTTCTATTAAAACTTATGGTACAAAACTTTTAAAAATTGATCTAGGTTTAAGACGCGATTTTGAATTCCCTTTCATATTAGCGGATATATCAACACCAATCATAGGCGCTAACTTTTTGGAGAAATTTGGTATATTAGTTGATATTAAAAATAGAGAAATTACTGATTCAACAACAAAATTGAAAGTTTCTGGATCATCTGGTTTTTGCGATATATTTTCAATAAGGATACCAATTACTGAAAATAAATTTTCTACACTTTTAAATGATCTTCCTTCAATTACTTGTGAACCAGATTACACTAAACCAGTGCAACAACAAACGGTTCACAGAATTGATACAAAAGGAGTGCTACCTTTCTCTAAACCACGTCGTCTTGATCCAATTAAATTCAAAATAGTAAAAACAGAATTTGAATTTTTAGTTAAAACGGGTATATGTAGACCTTCACACTCTCACATTGCATCTACTTTACATTTAGTTCCTAAAAAAGAACCAAATGATTGGAGACCTTGTGGAGATTATAGGAGACTTAATTGCATTACTATTCCAGATCGTTATCCGTTACCTAACATTCATGATTTGACTATTGATGTAAAGAATAAACAAATACTTTCAAAAATTGATCTTGTTCGTGCATATCACCAAATACTTATGGCTGAAGAAGATATTCATAAAACAGCAATTACTACACCGTTTGGAATGTTTGAGTTCGTACGGATGCCTTTTGGACTACGAAATAGTGCACACACATTTCAACGTTTTATTAATGAAGTATTTTCAGGTTTAGAATTTGTGTTTGTCTATATTGACGATATTCTTGTTGCAAGTGATAATGAAGATCAACATATTGGGCATTTAAAATCTGTATTTGAAAGACTTGAAAAATATAGTTTGAATATTGAACCTAGTAAATGCATTTTTGGAGCAAATAAATTAGATTTTCTAAGCTATGAA